TCTAATCTATAAACATTTAGATCAAGTGCTGCTCGCATCAACATATAAATATCTTCAAGTGGTTCTAACTGATTAGTCAAAACAATGGATGCAAGTGATTTCAATTTATCAAGTAAAAACTTGTCAGCTTCGATAAGGACTTTATGCGAAAGTGTTGGAGGAATATCGCATTTATCTGTGTAAATAAATTCCAATATTAATGCAAATACATCCGCTGTGCAATCATCTAAAATTTTTATTTTGGGTATAAGACGATCATCCTGTTCGAAAGTATCCATCTGTTGACTTTCTGCAAATGGTCCAGTTATTAATATATTTAAATACTCTGATCTTTCAGTAAGGAATGCCTTATGACATGGAAAAATCTGTCGTCCTATTTGAATACAAATATCTGCTTGTGCAAATATTGATGTTCCACTATTGTTCGAGTTTGTATCGGAATTTCCTGTTATATCATCCAAGCTCTTTTTATTGTTTAATACTATATTTCTAAAGAAATTTTCAAAATCTCGCCGAAGCCCTTGGGATTCTAACTTATCAAATTCTTGAACTTCTTTTTTTAAAATCTTATTATCAATATTATAACGTTCTGCCAAATTATATAATTCAAATTGTCGACACATTGTTATCATTTTAGATCCTAAATCTTTGTCAACTGTGATGATTTCGCTCGTATATAAATATCTTAAAATTATACGGAAACATGTTGGATGCCATTGTGGATCTCGAATTTCTATTACCTCATAATTACGCCATATAGTTTCTAATTTATTGCCAAAGTACTTTGACCGAGCGTAAAGAATGCATCGATGCGCATGAATTTCTTCATCAAAGGTCAATGTTTTTAATTTGAATATCACATCACTAAATGTGTTAAGTGGTCGATCGTAGAGCGTGGCCAAAAATTTGAAATATGGCTTTTAATTCGTATAGATATGATTTATGTTAATACTAATAATATTATTATTATCGACATACTAACAATAATAATTTATGATCTCTCGAGAAAAAACCCACCTGGCTTTCATCTACAGCTTTACTAAATTTGTAATCGTGTAGAAGTTGCCTTATCTCGGAAGTAAGTGCTCCATAATAACAACTAAACATATTAAACATAAATAATTACTGTATGATTTTATTCCCGTGATGTTTTCATGATTTTACAAATAATTAAACGAACCGTTCCCCTTCAAAAGTATCTCGCTCACAACGGGCACCATTCTCCAGTAAAAATGACACCACTTATTCACAAAGTACATGTCAATTCGAATTGTTCGTAATTAATGAAAAATATACACGTCATTCTCACTAATCTAACCTTTGTAATGTCCACTTAAAATTTTATGATAAAATTCGATTTATTCACTTTAGTATATAAATATCTTTACAAATAAATTTCAATACAGTTGTAATAATTAAACTTACCATAAACAAGCTAAATATAAAGGCGAACATTGCCAAAAATCTGTCTTATTGATAGGTGCTGAATAATTACGAACTAAACTGTAAATAATATATTTCACCAACGAACTTAATAATATCAAAGTATATTCGTTTATTTTCGGATAAATCCACTATTTTTTTTTACCTTTCTACTCTTTCAAGATCACCAGATCGACAAGCCATCAACAAGTCTTGAAAAGTTTTATCCATACCATCTTTGTCACTTTGACTATAGTCATTTGGAAGAATAACACTTACTGGTTTAAAAGGCTTCATTATCACCTTTAAACGTGTTATTAATAACGTTAAGGTAGGGTGTTAAAATAGTTGGGGTACATATTTAAGGATTTTTTACCGGTTGTTTAAATAATTTCGGAAATTTCGGAAAATTTAACTTTAATTATTATTTTCTTTATCGAACAACTTAGAAAATTTTTAACTTTCACTTTTCTTTATTTATCGAACAACTTACTAAACAATATATTAGCTTCTATTTCTTCAAATATTACCTGTTTTTTATTATTTTGCTTTTTACTATTTTGCTTTTTTAATTTTTTTTTTTAATTTTTTTTTTTGTAATATTACAAGTAGTATAGTTTTTTTAGTATTTTACAAGTAATATAAAATACAGAAGAGAGACTTTTAATAGTATCAAAATAGGATATTATTTCACAAAGACAATTTGTTAGAAAGATTATATTAAAGCAAAAAGTATTTTTATTTACAATACAATATTAATAATACAAAACTATTTATTAGTATTTATTTTAAGAGAATTTTAATATTAAGAAAATTTCAAAGTGATAATTATTTGATGTACAAGTGGTATCAAGCAACTCTCCTTGTTGATCACTATAACCAAATCTGAAGCAAAAAGAAAAACTGTCATAACTCAAGTTTTTGATTAAAAACAAGTACTTAAGCTACTAAGAAAAAGAAAGAAAAAGAAGGAAATATATATATAGAAGCAGAAAGAATAAAGAATAAAAAGAAAACAAGAAATTAAAAGAAATTTTCATCTTGAAACAGACTTTGAAAAGTCTTTTTTTTTGAGAAAATTGAGGAATTGAGTATATTCTGAAATGTAGATTACTTCATGTAATACAAACACGTGAGTAAACAAAGTAAACAAATATATCATAAAAAATCACATATTATATAGCTAAACTAGAGACAAAATATACTATATCAAAACCAAATTAGTTACTAGCAACTAGGAAATACTACTAGGAATTTTCATAAAAGAATAGGGTTATTCCAGAAATAGTATATAGAGTTAAAATTAAAAAAGTAACTTAAATAACAGATAACAAAAGAATCTAAAGAGCTACAAAGAAAACATTATAGATAAGTATATAGAAAAGAGAAAAAACAAAAAGATTAATTGAAAAAGTAATTAGAAAGTACAGTAAAGAAATAGTAATAGATAATATCAACTTAGTATTAAGACTCGAAAAGTATTTAGATAATATAGTTACTGATTTAATAGAAGTAAAAGTAGAAATTATCAAAGTAACAAGGTACTAGTATATAGTTATTAAAAGAGTTGCAATTTCAGATGAACTAGATAGTGTAAAAGCTTTGGTTGAAGCTGAAGAAGAGAAAAGAATAAGTCAAGTAAATATAGAAATCAAAATAGAAGAGGTAGAACTAAAGCAAGGTTCAAACCTACAAAAAACACAAAATATACTTATATGGCTACATAATCAATTAGCATTAGCAAACAGTAGTAAAGAAGAACCTCTTGCAAGTGAACTATATAACAAATTACTTAAAGAAATAGAAGATATCAAAATAGAGCTAGATACAAAAGAAATAGAAGATAGCAAAGTAGTTCTTCCTAAAAAGGAGATATATCAAAAACTAGTTAATTCAGATTCGTACTAAGAAACTTTCTTAGACAAAAGCATCTGAGTACTCAAGAAAAAAAGATATGAGAATAAAAAAGATATCAAGACAAAGGTAGCTACAATTAATGTACTTGGTAACAATAAAGAACAAAGAGAAAAATCTCTAAGATAGTTCTTAAGAGAAAATACTTATATCAATAATATTATAAAGAAATTTGAAAAGAGAAATCTATAATATATGATTATTTTTAACTATGAAAAAAGATATGAGGAAGCAAAATCAAAACTTAAAAATACAAAAGAAGACTTTGAAAAACTCTGACTGTTACTTATTAAAACTAACTAACTAATTCTACCTAAGAAGATACAAGAGAACTCAGATATAATCTCAAAAGAAAAAGAAAACAAGATCACGAAAGAAGATAAAACAAGAGAAAAGCTAAGAGAAATTGCAAAATGCAGAAGTATAAAATTAATAGATAGAGCTTCAGTGAGTAAGACTAAAGGAAATAAAAGCAAAAATTATGTTAAACATATTACAAAGAATTCATTAATCAGATAATAGTCTAGAACCTACTAACTTGAACAAGTAGATTACAAGTTTTAACTTAATATATTTTATTAGAAGAGTAGATTATATTGAAATAATAAAAGAACTATTTGGTAAAACCAAAGCAGAAGTAGACTTTCTTCCAAATACAGTTAATATAAAAGACTTATCAGAGATATAGTATTTGTTATTTATGAAGAATTATCTAATCAGAATTACAACAGGAAAGACCAACTATGAGTTACTAAGAATATGCAATGCTTTTAGTAGAAAGCTATTTGATCTACTAGAAAATGCAAATAAATTTCTCTTATAGAGACAAGTTAAATATACAAGAGCTAAAGCTCTACATATCTTCAAAAACTCTAACAATAATAACAGAAGGAGTGCAACAGTATATTTTAAGAATAAAGAAAACTACAAGAATAGTGTTAAATTTGCTATTTTTTATAGTAATACTAGATTAAGTTGAGCAATCAGTAAAGAAGAGAAATACAAAGGTTTAACTAGCAGAAGATTTTCAAGTAGCAGTAACTCTGAAGGAAAAGGTAACAGGACAGAATAGAAAACAGATAGTATAAGAACAGATTCAAGAGAAGATGAAGCATCTGAGAAAAAAAAAGCAAACAATGAAAACTAGTAGAGGAGTACATATTCAAAGAAGAAAAGAAAAGAAATATGTGATAGAAAAAGAAAGAAAAATACTAATAGAATTGCTACTAGTTCAGTTATTTCTCAGAAACAAAACATAAA